ACTCTCACGTCCCCTCCCCACCACCAGCCGGGCTGCACCCACCGCCATCAGACCCCCCTGGGTGCCTGGGTCCCTCCTGGACACCTGCGTCCCTTGGGGTGGGGGTCAGGGAGGGGTCCCAGGGGGCAGGGTGTCCCTGAGCCCCCCAATCCCAGCAGGCACCTGCTACTCTCTGTGGGTGTTGGCTCAGGTCTTCAGGCCCAAGAAGAATTGAGGGGGGTCCAGACACCCCCGCCCCCAATAAAAGGCTCCTATGAAGCTGTCAGCCTTGTTGGGGACACCAGGGACATGGGGGGGGGACACTTGGGACACACACGAAACACATGGAAGGACAAGGGTCAGAGACACAGAAAGGATTTTATTGTTCAACTCGGCAAGCACCCATCTGGGACAGCCACTGCCCTGGGGGGGCCATAGGTGTCCACAAGTGTCCTCGTCCCCTGCAGGGCAGGACCAGCCCCCCCCGGGAATAAATAGTTTGTGGTTAAAACCCCCGGGAACGGGGACAAGGACAGCGATGGGGACAGGGGTGGGGACAGGGACCAGGACAGAGAAGGAATGGGGACAAGAACAGGGGTGGGGACAGGGATATGGAGACAAGAACAGGGACAGGGATATGGGGACAAGAACAGGGGTGGGGACAGGGACAGGATGGGGACAGGAAGGGACATCAAGGTGGCAGAGGGCTCCCCCCAGGCGTGCCAGGGCAGGCAGCCAGTGGCAGCTGGAGGGGCGTGGGGGGGTTGATGTCATCATCCTCCCCATCCCCATCCAACTGTGTCACCCGGTTGTTCAGATGGTTGAACCGCTGGGCCCACTGGCTGTAGGGGACAGAGGGGACACTGTGAGGGACCCCAGCGTCCAGAAGGGGGAACTCCCAGGTGTCTGGGGTGGACACCCAGGCATCTGGGCACCCAGTATGAACCAGGATGTACCAGTATGAGTGGCGCTCATCAGGGTTGAGGCTGTGCCAGAGCTGCGCCAGCTCCTGCGTGACCGCAGAGGACGCCACTCCCGGGTAGGCTCTGGCACCATTGTCGGGGATGTCACCACCTCAGGACACCCCTCCGCCAGTCCCCGTGTTCCCCCACAGAGCTCATATGCCCCTTGGCTGTCCCCATCCTCCTGGGGTCCCCATGTTGTCCCAGGGTCCCCATATCCCCCCTCCTCCCTGGGGTCTTCATCCTCCTGGGCTCCCCATGTTGTCCCCAGGGTCCCCATGTCCTCCCTGGGGTCCCCACACACTCCTCCTCCCTGAGATCTCCAACTTCCTGGGCCCCCAAGTTGTCCCCAGGGTCCCCATGTCCTCCCTGGGGTCTCCATCCTCCTGGGTACCCACATTGTTCCCACATCCCTCTTCTCAGGTCCCCATGTCCCTAGAGTCCCCATGTTGTCTCCAGGGTCCCCATGTCCCCCCCAGGGTCTCCGTGTCCCCACCTCATGTAGTTTCTCCGGTTGATACGGCAGAACATGATGAAGCCATTTATACACCTCTTCTTGGGGCGGGGGGAGGCACCCTGTTCTTGTGTGCGCGGTGACCTCCCCATCTCCACAGCCACCCTGGGGGTCACCGGCCTGCCACTGGCCGCTGCCTCCTGCGATGCCACTGCTGGGACCTGCGGGGACAGTTGTGTCCCCTAGAGGTGACACAGGGAGGGGTGACATCAGAGGAGAAGAGGTGGCACTGGTGGGTTGACAGTCCCTACCTGCGGGCCGAGATAGACGTCTGCGAAGAGATCTGGGGGGGGACGGTGACACTGAACTGGGGGGGCACAGACACATTGTCACACACACCCCCTCCCGGCCCCCGCAAACCTACCTCGTAGCACTTCATCAGGGGGCCCCGGGGGGGGTGGCGAGGCCAGCAAGGAGGGGCTGAGCCCCAGCAGCCCCTCCCGCTCCGGAGAGGGGCTCAGGGGAGCCCCCCCTTCCCAGTCCAGTGCCTCCCAGTAGGGCCCAGTAGGGCCCATCCAGGGGTCACTGTCCCCCCTCATCTCCTTTTCTTCTTCCTCCTCGTAAGGCACCAGCTGCTGCTTGGGGGGGCTGAGGGGGGCAAGGAGGGGGTCAGCACCTGGCAGTGCCCCCATCCATTTGCCCCCCGCCCATCACCTACCTCCATGTGCCTCTAGTGCTCGGTCCCGCCTCCGTACTGTCACTGTCACTGGGGTTGCCTGTGGACACAGGGGGGCTGTCACTGGGGGGGCAGTCCCCCAATGCACAGGGCCTTAGGAGTGGCCTGTAGAGCTTGAAGTGGGGGTGGAGGGGAAAGGAGGGGGTTGGGGGGGACTCAACGAGTAGAGGGTCCC